CGCAACTATAGTAGTCCCCACTTGCCACAACTAGAGAAAGATTGTGCAAAGCAGTGAAAACCCAGCCAGAAATAAATAAAATTTTAAAACATTAAGAAAAAAAAGAATCCGCCAGCCAATGCAGGAACACAGGTTCGATCTCTGATCCAGGAAGACCCCACATGCCTTGGAGCAATTAAGTCCATGAGCCACAAATATTAAGCCTGTGCTCTAGAACCTAGGGACCACAACTACTGAGCCCATGTGCTGCAACCACTGAAGCCTGTGCACCTAGAGCCCACCCTCCACAAGAGAAACCACTGCAAGAAGAAGCCCATGCTCTGCAACAGAGAAGCCCCCACCCGCCACAACTAGACAAAGTCCACATGCAGCAATGAAGACCCTGAACAGCCAAAAATAACTAATTATTTTTTTAAATGGGCACAGAACTTGAATAAATGTTTCTCCAAAGATATACATAAAGGCCAATAAGCATAAAAGAAATATGCTTAACAGGAGTAATCACTAGAGAAATACAAATCAAAACTATAAGGAGGTATCATCTCATACCCATTATGATGGCCACTATGATTTAAAAAAAAAAAAAGGAGAGTGAAAAAGCTGGCTTAAAACTCAATGTTCAAAAACTAAAATCATGACATCCAGTCCCATCACTCCATGGCAAATAGATGGGGAAACAATGGAAACAGTGACTTTATTTTCTCAGGCTCCAAAATCACAGCAAATGGTGACTGCAACCATGAAATTAAAAGATGCTTGCTCCTTGGAAGAAAAGCTATGACAAACCTAGACAGCATATTAACAAGCAGAGACATTACATTGCCAACAAAGGTCCATATAGTCAAAGTTACAGTTTTTCCAATAGTCATGTATGGATGTGAGAGTTGGACCATAAAGAAGACTGAGCATCAAAGAATTGATGCTTTTGAACTGTGGTGTTGAAGACTCTTAAGAGTCCCTTGGACTGCAAGATCAAACCAGTCCATCCTAAAGGAATCAATCCTGAATATTCATTGCAAGGACTGATGCTGAAGCTCCAATACTTTGGCCACCTGATTCGAAGAACTGACTCATTGGAAAAGACCCTGATGCTGGGAAAGACAGAAGGCAGAAGGAGAAGGGGATGACAAAGGATAAGATGGCTGGATGGCATCACCGACTTGATGGACATGAGTTTGAGCAAGCTCCAGGAGTTGATGATAGACAGGGAAGCCTGGCATCCTGCAGTCCATGGGGTTGCAAAAAGTTGGAAAGGACTGAGCAACTGAACTGAACTAATAAAAAAAAAAAAAAAAACAGAAAATAACAAAGTCAGTGAAGATGTGGAGAAATTTAAACCCTTGTGCTTTGCTGATATAAATGTAAAATAGTGTAGTTTCTGCAATTTCTACTATTGTCAAAGAAAAGTAAAAATTATTACCAATGCCCAGAACAGCTCATAAAACCATAAGAAAGTCCCAGTGTACTACTTAAATGTTCAGTTCCTCTGCTAGAGCTACTCAGCAATAGCAGTGTTTCAGTTTACTCCTCCTTCCCAAACCCACTGGTGAAGAAGGGTAAAAACTGGTCAAAAAGACAGAAAGAGGAAAAAGTAAGGTGAGACTAATGAGAATGTTCTAGGAATATTACTTTTCAGTGGTTCAATTTTTTTTAATCTGCAAAATGAGGAGATAATAGTGCCTACCTTTTCAAAGGGCTGTCATAAAGATTTAGTTAAGTTCACATATACAAAGTATTTAAGAGTGATTACTGCATAGTAAACACTCTATAAATATTAGCTATCAATATTATTGCTCAAGAAATCACAACTTCTTATTTCAATTACAACCTATATTTCAGTTCTCTCTCCTGAACACCAAATCTCCAGCTGCAAAAGAAAAAAAAAATCTCTAGATAGATTTTCCCAGTGAAGAACACTGCTATGAGCTCACTCATCCTAGGCTGACCTAGAACAGTTAGACTCTTCCCTCTTTTTCATCCTTTACATCTAACTCTTACCAAGCCTTGCAGACTCTCTCTCAGTATCTCCTGAAACCACCCCTTCTTCTTTAACCACATTGTCCCTGCCCCCTTAGTATAGGCCTTTATCACTTCTTCCAGGATTACTTTAGTTTCTCACTGACCATGGGGACTCTAATCTCAGCCCTCTCTGACTGATCCATCTGTTACATTCATCCCTGTTACAAGGATCTATTAAAACAAAAATCTAGTAGTAAATATATGAGTGTTTACTATGTCGAATTATTTTCTTACTTTTTTGTACTTTCAAAATAAAATTTTAATTTCAATTTAAAAATGAGAAGAGAAACAAAGTGTTCCCCCTGATCAAGGGTGGTTGGAAACAGGCAAATACAAGAAAAGGACTGAAAAAAGGCACAAAGAAATCTGGGGGAGTGACAATATGTTCATTAATTTTATTATGATTATGACTTCTCAGGTGTATACCTGTCAAAACTTATCAAATTATACAATTAAATAAATGTGATTTACTGTATGTCAATTATTCCTCAATTTCAAAATTTTAAATAAGAAAAAAGAGTAAATGCATAAAAAAAACCTTTAAAAATAAATCCTCCCTTTGTTTAAATGGCTGCCCTCTGCCTTAAGATAAATCTCCAACTCCTAACACTGACATGCAAGGTAATGCCTCTTCTCCTGCCATTTCCCCACAAGGGCCCCTAAGTCCAGCCAAAGAGATTTACTTACAGCTCCCTGACTATCTAGCACAGTAACACAAGGTAATGCTTCTGCTCTATGCCCTTTCCTCTATTCCCCATCTAATGCTCTCTCATTAAGTATCTAAATGCTCATCCTCAGTGTGGGTTAGCTGCCTTTCTACTCTGCTCCCAGAGCACCTAGTTCAGACTTCTATCACAGCATTTCAAGAACTGTATTAGTAGTTTTCTTTTTTATCTCTATTAGATTATAAGCATGAGAATAAGCTCTATGTTTTCCATTTTTGGCCCATTGGAGAGTTCCCAGCATGTAGTAAACACTCAAAATAGTTGCTGAATAAAAGGGAAGAAACGCACTTAAAATACCACTTGTATCAACTGATTCTCTGATCAACCCTACCAAATTTACCCTTAAGAAAACCTGAAGCTCAGAGAAATTAGTTGACTTGCTCAGGGCCATACCCATAGTTGGTAATGGGGCCAAGCTTTCAAACAAAGCCCTTCCGACACCTAGACAGGTGCATTTTCCTTTTATTTGTGAATTCTTCACCAGGCCTAACCCAGATTCCTCTTCAACATAAGGGATCAATACATATCTGCTACTTTCATATTTACTGTCACTCTCTAGTCCCAAGTTGCTTTGTCACATACTACACTTTAACACATGATAAGACTTGAAAGAATTAAGAGTATAAAGTGAAAGAGACATATCTTATCCACTCTTGATTTTTTACTTAAAAAGATGACTAGAAAGAGATTAATGGGGAGAGGGAGAGATTCAACTAATAGAAGCAATTAGAGAGGTGGTTTCAATCGATGCTACCAACTAAGAAGAAATGAGCCTGCAACTGTCCACAAGCTCAGCAGCATGCTCAGCTGGGGCAGCCACTAACATTCAAGAGGAGTCAAGCATTTATTTCACATCTACAGCCCAACAAAATTCTCATCTTTCCCCCCAGAAAATATCCATCTTAAAAACACTTTTGACATCCTAGTTGCCATTTCCTCAGCAGTCTTCAGATCTAAATCAATTTCTGCCCTGGCATCAACAATTCCTTCAGTGAGTTACTTTCTGTTTGAAGGAGCTACTCTTCAAACAAACATTTACTACACAACAATAGAGGGCACTGTACTTTGCTAGGCTGACAAGAAATAAAAGTAAAATGCAGTCCATACAAGCCACATATAAAAAGATTAGAAACAAGTGTCCCTAATATCATAACTCAAAGGAAAGCTAAAGGCAGGAATGCAAAGAAATAGACGAAAACAACAGAATGGGAAAGACTAGAGATCTGCTACAAAAAATAATGCCCTTGACCAAGTTTTTTAAAGACTTGCTGAAAGTATAAACGCTCCCATCCGTCCATAACTAGGAACCAAGCTCTGTATCCTCCTAATTTTTGTTCTATTTAATTCCTAGAAGTAAGAATCCACTAGAAGGATAGAACTGTATCACAAGAGGTTCAGCAGATTCCCATATGGGTGTTAATTAGTCAAGTGTATAATAGTGAAAGTGAAGTCGCTTAGTCGTGTCCGACTCTTTGCGACCCCATGGACTGTAGCCTACCAGGCTCCTCTGTCCATGGAATTTTCCAGGCAAGAATACTGGAGTGGGTTGCCATTTCCTTCTCCAGGGGATCTTCCCAACCCAGGGATCGAACCCAGGTCTCCTGTATTGTAGGCAGACGCTTTTACCATCAAAAACAGTTCTTCATAACTTATTTCATTCATTCCTTCAACAAATATTTAACACCTATGATGTGCCACACACTGCACTAGGCAGAGTAAAAACAACAGACATGACCCAAGTTCTCCTACAGCTTTCCCTCCAACAACCTATAATAGTATTCCATTTAGCTGCACGGTTAAGAATGAATCTACTTAGCTCTCTGAAAAGCCAGAGGACCTCAGAATTCGAAGAACCTGCAGATTTACGTCCTCAATTTGCGCCTAGGGACTCTGAAGCCCTAAAGTGACTTGCCCAAGGTCATCCTGTGCATTAGTGACAGAACAGAAATTAGAACGCGGATCTCTCTCTCTCCCTGAAGGGAAGAAGTCACGGCTGGTGACCGAGGAAAAGCAAGTTTCTTCAAATTTAGCTGTGAAGTCACTCTCCTCCCTTCTCCAAAGACAGGGAAGGCACGGAAAAATCGAGGGTCGGGGGAGTGGGAAGCTGCCTCAGTTTCCCCGCAGAAAGCGGCCGAGTAGCCCCGCTAACACACAGGCTCCGCTCCTGCACTCCCGTCCAGTTGTTCCCGTCCCGCCCTCTCCAACTCCAACCCGGGAGTCCGGCGGGCCACCGCACATAATTACTCCTTCACTCACAAGGACTCGCACCAGCAACGCCATGTTTCTCGACAACCATTTCCGGGTGAAGGATGGGCTTCCGGAATCTCGGCGGCCTCCACCCCTCCACGAGGTTGTCTTTTCGCCTGTTGGTGCCCGGCAACCGCAGCGCAGGCGCACGGAGGCTGCTGGGAGCACGAGCGCGCGCTTTCCCCGCTGTGCACGAGAAGGTAGGGCCCGGGCGCGCGGCAGGACAGCCGGAACGCGAACGCGCGCCTCCCACTCTGTCTAGTCTCGGTCAGGAGCGTCACAGAGGCCCGTGTCGTCTCCACAACACCAGTCCTCTGTGACATCTGCCTCGAGCTTTTCGTAGCTCTCTCCTTAACCCGCCAGACTCCTCAGCACTTCCTTGTCGGAGTTCCTCTCTCCCAAACTGTCCCCACTAGGATTACCGCCTTTTCACGAGCGGTTGAAAATTACAGGATCTTGGGGAAAATCCCAGCACTTTAAGACTCCCTGAAACGAGCCGGAGGAGAAGGAGGACGTAGGACACGGCTGAGTCCTGAAATTCAGGGGAAGAGGGTGATCACATGCTGACTTGAAACCTGAGAAAGGAACGTTAGGGGTTCCTGGTTGGTTGGTTGCAATAGGGAGCATCTTTGAGTATTGATAGGAAATTATTGTAAAGTTGAAGAAGATATAGAAGATGCAAGGATGCAAGACGTTTCCTCCGGAAGTGAGAGAGAATGGCTTTAGCCAGAAGACCTCTTACATTCAGTGTACCCCAGGAATATTAGAGGAGAGAAGGTGTGAGTGTTCTTGGGGTTATGGAGGGCAGAGGGGCAGAATGTTGAAGGACTTCCTTACTTTTCATTCTGTCAACATATAGACCCATTGACTATAGGCCTGTGACCGGTTCACTGTGTGCTGGACCTAAGACAGGTGTGAATACTGGGTCCTGGAGCTCATAGATGTGATGGGAGGGCTGGGCACACAAAAGTAAGCCAATGAGAAAAATAAAATAGTTTAAAATTGCTTAAAGTGCTATGAAGGAAACAAGGAGCTAAACTAGAGAATAACATGGGAAACTACCCTTGATATGCTTTCTCCACTCAAGTGAGCAGTTTATGTGTTTGGAATTGAAAATAGCAGTACAGTGCTTCTACAGGCTTCCCTGGTGGCCCAGTGTAAAGAATCCACCTGCCAGTGCAGGAGCCTCCAGTTTAATCCCTGGGTCAGAAACATTCCCTGGAAAAAGAAATTACAGCCCACTGCAGTATTCTTGCTTGGGAAAGCCCATGGACAGAGAAGCCTGGCAGGCTACAGTCCATGGGATCACAAAGAATCAGACACGACTTAGTTACTAAACAACAACAAAGTTCTCCTACAGGGAAGTTAGGACAAGTGGCATCACATATTATAAATGATAAGAGCAATTTTCTTGTTAATCAGTTTAAAGATGCAAATGTGATACAAAAACTATACAGGTTTGAAAAGTGAAAGTGTTTCTTATGGCTTCTATTTTCTCTTGGCAGGAAAATTTTCTGCTCAAAGGATGGTAGATGATATGAGACTGTAGTTCAGAAGAAGAAAAGTTTAACAGAGACTAAAAGAAAAAGGGGCCAGTGAATATGGAGGATCTAGTTGCAGTTTGTAACTCTCTGCTTTATAAATTTTAATCTATTAATTTTAAATTAAAAGTCAGATTTATACTAAAACTCTATTTTCTTAAAATTAGCATGTTACAGATAAAGCTAAAGCCCCTTTTTACCACCACCTTGAATCCCAACTTTCCACCGTCTTTAAAATTGAATTCCCTTCCAGATTTTTTTTAATGCGGCAAACATAATTGCGGTTTCTGACTGTGATTTTTAAATCAATGTAACTAGGCTCAAACACAGCTTTATTAATCAAAGAAGGAACCATTACAATCAATACATTTTTGCCAATAAGTTTATTTATTCCTGTAGAGTAAAAATCTGTGCCTTGGGATTCAATGAACTCTTAGAAAGCATTTTCTGCCTCCTGCTGGTTATGAAAGCATTTTCCTGCAAAAAGTTGTCAAGATAGTTGAAGGAAGTGGTAGTCAGTTGGTGAGAGGTCAGGTGAATACGGCAGATGAGGCAAAACTTCGTAGCACAATTGGTTCAGTTTTGAAGTGTTGGTTGTATGACGTGCAGTTGATGTTGTCATGGAAAAGAATTGGGCCCATTCTGTTGACCGATGCTGGCTGCAGGCATTGCAGTTTTTGGTACATCACATCGATTTACTGAGCATGCTTCTCAAATGTAATGATTTCACTGGGATTCAGCAAGCTGTAGTGGATCAGACCAGCAACAGACCACCAAACAGTGACTGTGACTTTTTTTTGGGGGGGGGGGTGCAAGTTTGGCTTTGGAAAATGCTTTGGAGCTTCTTCTGGTCACCACCAGTTGTCATATAAAATCCACTTTTCGTCAATCATCACAATCCGATCAAGAAATGATTCTTTGTGGTTGCGTAGAGTAAAAGAAGACAACACTTCAAAACAAAGATTTTTTTTATTTTCAGTCAGCTCATGAAGCACTCACTTACTAAGGGTGCTTTTTCACCTTTTCAATTTGCTTCAAATGCTGAACAATGATAGAATGGCTGACATTGAGTTCTTCGGCAGTTTCTCGTGTAGTTGAGAGGATCAGCTTCAATGATGCTCTTAGCTGCTCTTGTCAACTTCCGATGACTGGCCACTGCACTCCTCATCTTCAAGTCTCTCGTCTCCCTTACAAAACTTCTTGAAGCACCACTGCACTGTATCTTCATTAGCAGGTCCTGGGCCAATGTGTTGTTAATGTTGAGAATTGTGTCTACTGCTTTATGACAGATTTTGAACTCAAATAAGGAAATCCCAATGCAGGGGACCCAGATTCAATCCCTGGTCAGGGAACTTAATCCCACATGCCACAACTAAAGATCTCTTGTGCCACAACGAAGACCCAGGACAGCCAAATAAATAAATGTGTGTGTTTTTTTTAATCATACATTATAAATATATATGTGCTGAGCATTTACCATGATCCAGACTCAGACCTAGATTCTGAAGATACAAGAGAGAATAAAACAAAGTTCCTGCCCTCATGGAGATTATATTTCAGTGGAGAAAGACAAGCAATAAGCAAATAAATATAATGTCAGGTATGGTAACTGCTAAGAAGGGTAGGAACAAAATATAATAGGGTGCTATTTTAGATAGAATGATCCAGTAAGGCCATGTTGAATTTGATCAAAAATATGAATGAAATGATATAGTGACCCATGTTAAAGAACATGCTGGTCAGAAAGAACAGCAAGTATAAAGGTCCCAACATGAGAAAATGCTTGATGTTTCCAAGGAAGAAAAAGGAGCTTATCATTGGCTGGAGCCAAATGAATAAGGAAGAGTCTGATAAGAGATGAGGTTATGAGATGGTCCTAAGAGCCAGAACATGGGGGACCTTGTTGACCATGGTAAAAACTTTAAATTCTATTCTATTGTTAACATAGCTGTAGAAAAATCACTGGAAGGATACATAAGAAACTAGTAGTGGTCGTTATAGTGCCTGATTCTGAGGAAGGAGGGTTAGGGGACTAGGATGTTAGGTCTGGAAGGGAGACAGACATATTTTTTCCACCTATATCCTTTTGTCTTGTTTGGACTTTGTACTGTATCTATATAATTACCTTTAAAATTGAAAGAAAAACATCCAAACCACTCTTAAAATCTTCTGCCAAAAAAAAAAAAAATTTACTTGTTGGTTTTATGGGAAATACAAAGAAGTGAAACTTGGTCTTTACCCTTAGCATATTATGATTGTGAAAGTATAATACATACAACAATTTTAAAGACAATACCAAAGGATGGCAATTTATTCCTATCTCACACCATATGGAAAATTAACTCAAAATGAATCATAGATCTAAATGTAAAAACTAAACTATAAAGCATGAGGGTAAGTCTTTGTGACTTTGTTTTAGGCAAAACCTTCTTAAATACAATGTCAAAAGCACAAATAACAAAAGAAAAACTAGGTAAATTGGACAACATGAAAATTTAAACTTTTCATTGCAAAAGGTACCATCAAGAAAGTGAAAAGATACAAATTAGGAGAAAATGTTTGCAAATCACCTATCCGATAAAGGATTTGTATCCAGAATATACAAGGAGCTCTATAACTCAGTAATAAAAAAAATAAACACCCAGTCAAAAATGAATAAAAGATTTGAACAGACATTTCTGCAAGGAAGATACACAAATGATCAATAAGCTAATGAAAAGATGATCAACGTCATTAGTCATTAGGGAAACACATACATACAACATAATGAGATACCATTTCACATTGCACTAAGTGGCTATTAATACAGGTACTGGCAAGGATGTGAAAAACTGGATAACTCATGCATGGGATTGTAAAACTCTACAGCTGCTTTGGAAAACAGTTCCTATAAATTAGAAACATAGACTTATGATTCTTGGGCATATATTTAAGAGAAATTAAAACATATGGGTGATGCTAGTGGTAAAGAACCCACCTGCCAGTGCAGGAGACATAAGAAACATGGGTTCAATCCCTGGGTCAGGAAGATCCCCTGGAGAGAGAGATGGCAACCCACTCCAGTATTCTTGACTGGAGAATCCCATGGGCAGAGGAACCTGGCATGCTACAGTCCATGGGGTTGCAAAGAGTTAGACACGACTGAAGTAACTTAGGACAGACGGGATGGAAAACATATGTCCACACGATAACTTGCATATTTATGTTCATCACAAAATTATTCAAAGTAGCCAAAAACAACCTAAATACCCTTCAGCTGATGAAATGGATAAGTAAAATGTGGTATATCCAGAAAATGGATTATTACTCAGCAACGACAAGGAATGAACTACTGATATACTTCAATATGGATGACCCTGAAAACATTGTGCTAAGTGAAAGAAGTCAGTCACTAAAGGGTATTGTATGAGTATGATCCATTTGTGAAGTGTCCAGCTGCCCAATGCCATGGCCAATTCCTGAACTTCACCACCAGAATTAATTATGAAATTT